TCTCTAAGACAAGTATCACCTCCCCTCGCCCTTAGCTCCTCCCCTTCCATCTTGCTTCTTCCTGAATTTTTTGTTTGTGCAGCTACAGTGAGGAACACCACCCCTCTCAAACACCGGTCTCACAGCACCATTGAGAGCCTAAGGATGTAATAAAAATATATCCGTTTTTTTTAGGTGCATTACTTTTTTATAATGCCTGTTCGCTGCTTACTTCTCAGTACAGCTACAACTGGATTGTGTTGAAGAACGCCAAAAAAAAGATGACTTCTTGTATCTAATTTTATACTATTGTGCTCTCCACTTACTGTGCAACAGTATAATAGTGGAAGTACCTGATATAGAGATATATTTAGCAAAATCTATAATTATACTCTAATGGGTGGAGAAGCAAAGGAAAGGAAAGGCTGGGGTCTCCTGCAGATGAGAAAACCCATGGAGGACCCAGAACAGAGCGGCAGTGAGAAGGAGCTGGGGGATGAGGATGAGGAGGAGGGCAAAACTGAACGGATCCCTCTGCAGCGCTGGGTCATGCACGGTGCTGTGATGTTTGGACGTGAATTCTGCTATGCCATGGAAACTGCTCTCGTGACTCCTGTGCTTCTTCAGATAGGTAAGGTGACCAAACGAGGAAATCCATTTCAGTTTGTCCAGCCCTGGGTTTTGTTCTTGATCCCCACTGTCATTAATGTTGAACATCCAGACATCAGTCATCATGGTATAACAGTGATGTGCAGTTTGACTGGATCCTCAGACACTTAATTTACCCTGACTTCTAAGGCTGCGCTGCTCTTGTTATGTAACCTTTGTGCCCAGCAGTAACTACAGTATTTGGGCGAGGTCAGGTTTGAGTAGTTGCCACTATAGCAAAAAAGAAACAAAGGCCATTTCCCCCGGGGAGGTAAAACAAAACTGTCCTGCACAGCACATTTCATGTTAACTTTTCCCCCATTAGTTCATTACAGTTTTCTTTATCCCAGATTTAAGATTACAGCAGTGAGTTAGTCATTTCTTCAGGGCATGATTGTTTACGAACAGGTTTGGTGTTTGTGTAAGGACTCCTCTGAAAACACATTTGATCTAAGTGCAGTATTTCTATTTGGCAGAGAGTTAAAACATTAGCCTGGTTTTTATGAACCTGACAACTGCAGTCAACGGAGTTAACACTCAGTAAAAATGTCAGTCAATCTGTAACGTGTAATTTTTTTTATCAAGCAGTTCAAAGTGAACTGATGTTAAACCATATTCATAAAGCGGTGAGATGTGAAAATACGCATTCACGTCTGCTTTGAAGCTGCATTCTTCATCTACTAAATTCACAGATTAGTGCAAACTCACAGTACAATTACAGCTGTGGTATTCAACATTTTAACACTGTAAGGCCTGAAAAAAGGCAGAAACTTATAAATGTTTGTAACTTAGATGTTTATGAAACAAAACATTTTAAACTTTCTCTCAACAATGTTCTTTTTAGAAATAAAAAAATTGCCAAACATTTTGAAAACATACAACACTTGCTACAAATTGTTTTATAAGGTTAGGTGTTTTGGCTCCTTGTTATCTTATTATATATTTATATTATCTGTTCCCTTGCTATCTGCTCTGCTGCTGTAGGCTGTGTATACCACTTTTGACCTTACTTGTGAGTCAGCAGTTATTTCACAACTTCCTTGGCAGGTTGAAGCATAATTCTCTCTTCATCTGTCTTAACAAGTCCCTGTATCAGTTCTTTACGTTCCTGCCAGCCTCATCGAAAGAAATAATTTAAAAAGAACCAGGTGATAATTTTGCTTTTTATGAACTTTTAACTTACTTTGCATCTTTGAATGTGGTTTTCTTCTACAGGTCTTCCTGAACAATACTACAGTTTAACCTGGTTCCTCAGCCCAGTTCTCGGTCTCCTCTTCACACCCGTGATCGGTTCTGCCAGTGACAGGTGCACTCTGAGCTGGGGCCGCAGGCGACCATTCATCTTGGCCCTTTGCGTGGGTGTGCTCCTGGGAGTGGCCCTGTTTTTGAATGGCTCACTAATAGGTATGTTCAGGAAAGGACCAACACTCATACCATCAGAGTTCAGACTAATCTGGTTTTTTTATGTTCTTCTAGGCCTTTCCATTGGCGATCGCCCGAACAACCAGCCAATCGGCATTATCCTCACTGTACTTGGTGTGGTGTTGCTTGACTTTTCTGCAGATGCTTCTGAAGGACCAATCAGATCTTATCTCCTCGATGTCGCCGACACGGAAGAGCAAGATATGGCCTTAAATATTCATGCATTTTCTGCTGGTAAGATATATTCACATGAGCTCACATGAGAACACAGGAATTGTCTCGTGTCCTTTGTGTTTTGATTAGTGATGGCTGATACAAGGGTTTTTTTTTCACAAGTTGATACGTAATGGATACATTGTGTGTGTGTTGTTTTTTACCCAATAAACCTGACAAATACTAGACCTTTAACAACTTTAATATGTATTTTTCATAATACATTAGTCATAACAATTTAGACTATGTGACTTAAGTAGTTTAATTGCTACCATTAAGGAACAAAAATGATGTATCTGTAATACTCTCCAACTTGTAGGACTTGGTGGAGCAGTGGGCTACATGCTGGGGGGTTTGGACTGGAAGGGCACAGCTCTGGGCCAGGCGTTTAAGTCACAGGAACAGGTTCTCTTCCTGTTCGCAGGCATCATCTTCATAATCTCTGTCACGCTGCACATGTTCAGTATTCCTGAGAAACCCTTTACTCCACTGTATAAGCTGAGAGACACGACAAACAAGGAGAGTGGCAGCCAGGTGTCTCTAAAGCCTGACGGCCCAACGCTGCCATTCCTTGATGTGATTGTGGAGGAGGATTCTTCTGCTCAAGTTCCATTCCAGGATGGCAATGAATTGGATCCAGTGATAATGGAAATGGATTTCTTTGCTGTCGACAGAATGCGTAGTAAAAGTGACTCGGTCTTAGCCATGCCAGATGCTACTATTGTGCTGGACTCAGACCTCCACCCGGATGCAAACCGTTTCCTCCCAGAGCCAAATCACTTTCTACCAAAGTCACATGGAGAGGCTGACGATGTTTTTAAGCCATCAGACCAAAACACTGGATCATATTCCTCACCCTGGGGAGAACAGAACCCTACCAATGTGATCGCTTTGGAGCCGTCAGATCCAGCAGTGAGCGCCCCTGCCTCAGAGGCCTCCAATCAGAAACAGGTAAGAACATCATTCACAGACTCCATTGGTCTTGTTTTTTAATCATCATTTTTATCATTTTATTTTGTCATTTTGACTTTTATAGTCTCTCTGAAAAAGTTGTCACCAAGTATCTTGTGATTTTTTTTTTTTGAGGAAACATTGATGTTACACAATATTTTCACTCCAGTTCTTGTGTTGTCTCTCATCACTTGTAGGTCAAAGCTGCCCCCGACCACAGTAATGCAGTGAAAAGCCACCCTTCCACCAGGCCTGGGAATCGCCCTTTGACCAGTTCGTCTTCATCGCGGCCATACAGACACACCTTCTACAGACAGGTGTAGTTGTATTAATGACAGAAGTAGCTGAAGTTCAAATGTAGAGATAAAAGCTAAGTTTTTGAATTTTGTCTCCTCAGCCTTCATTCACATTCTCATACTATGGACGAGTGGGATCACAGCGTCATCGACTGCGACGGACAACACCTTTGAGTCCTCAGCCAATCACCACCTCTCGCAGTCTGAATGACCTGAGTGAGCTCAAGCCCGGTACAGACAGGCGAGAGTTTCACCTGTCGACCAGCAGTGTGTCGTCTGTGAGCTCGGTCAGTGACGAAGGGCCGGACAAGGGCACGACGATCAGACTGCTTTGGTTGTCTATGTTAAAGGTAAAGTACAAAAAAAATGTGTTAATTAATTAATTAACTAACTTTCATACAAAGGTCATAACCTCATGTCTTTTTTCTGACCTGTGTAGATGCCAACACAGCTGTGGAGACTGTGTGTGTGTCACCTTCTCACATGGTTCTCCTACATAGCGGAGGCTGTGTTCTTTACTGACTTCATGGGCCAAGTCATTTACCAAGGAAACCCCATGGTATGCACACTCAAAGATTCTCTTGTCATTTCAGAAATATTGTCCCGTGAAATATCTAAACTTGACTTTCAATAGTAAACAGACTTCCAATATATTCTATCCTTAATTGCATGTTGTTTGTTCTATAAATAAGTAAATTTTGAAGTGTTAAAAAGGTAAGGTAAACATTGCAAAAATGGTTAATCTTGATAATCTATTTAATAGAGGATCCATTAAATAGACAGATGTAATCTACAATGACAGAGGTAAATTAGAAAAGAGCCAAAATGCAGTCAAACGTGTCATGATTATTTGTAGAATATTATTTTTTTATTTATTTTTTATTTTTTTATCTCTCCAGGCTCCAGCTAACGCCACAGAGCTCCATAGTTATCACAGAGGAGTTCAGATGGGCTGCTGGGGGCTGGTGGTTTACGCTGCGACTTCTGCTGTCTGCTCAGGTACAACCACAAATGAACGCTGACAATTATTATCAGAAAAGATTATTCAGAAAACCTATTTTTGCAACTGAATCTTCATCCTTTTTAAATTTCCCATCAACTAATTGTTCTTCTCCACCCTCAGCTGTCCTGCAGAAATACCTGGATAATTTTGACCTGAGCATTAGAGTCATCTACATTGTGGGAACTCTGGGGTTCTCTATAGGTCAGTGAAAAATGAACACAAATCACCAGAACCTTCATTTATAAAATCATGCACGCTAAGTTATATTCAATTACATTTTTCTTCTTTTTTAGGAACTGCAATCATGGCAATTTTCCCTAATGTTTATGTTGCCATGGTGATGATAAGTACCATGGGCATCATCTCCATGAGCATCTCCTATTGTCCTTATGCCCTACTAGGACAGTACCATGAAATAAAAGAGGTGTGTTTAGCCATGTCCACTGGGATGTTTTGCAAAAAAGGGTTGAGAATATAATTGTTAATCACAGCCTAATAAAACTCGATCGTTAATGTTCTTCTTACAACAGTCTTCTCTCCTCTCATTACTTTCTCAGTACATCCATCACAGTCCAGAAAACAGTCGGAGAGGCTTTGGTATCGACTGTGCCATCCTTACCTGTCAGGTGAGTAACATTTACTCTAACACCATGGTTCTCAAACTATGGTACATGTACTGCTGGTGGTACTTGGGCAACCTAACCAATATGCAAAAACACAGATTACTACTAATAAATTATTTGTACAAGGAAGCTGAGGAGCAAAAATAATGAAACACAGAAAAAAGAAAATAAATAACTTGACATTGACAAGTAGTGAGAAAAAGCATAGCTTGTTAACACCCACTGCTTCTGTGATAGGTGTAAGCCAGTGTGTTTTCTGTGGTTAGCCTTCTCCATATTTTGTATTTTGTATTCTTCCAGGTCTACATCAGCCAGATTTTGGTTGCATCTGCCCTCGGATCTGTGGTGGACGCCGTCGGCAGCGTGCGTGTCATTCCTATTGTGGCCTCGGGAGGCTCCTTCCTTGGCTTCCTCACTGCCTGTTTTCTGGTCATTTACCCTGACCAGGAGCAAAGCAACTCACAAAAGGAACAAGATTTGCAGGTGGTGTCTGCCAAATGTGTCCAAAATGGAGAAAAGAGTAATGGAGAAAGGACCACAGAACAAAATCTGGCTCTGCTGCACCACACAGAGAAAGATGGTTTGAGAAAAACAGAAAATCACTCTGTTGCCTAAGTTTGTGCATGGATAAAAATGTTGACAAAAAGGAAGCAACTTTTGTAGCTATTTACACAGAATGGAGAGTTTTTTTCCTTATTAAGCTGAAAGTTTAAGAGTTTTTTTTTTTTTTGCAAATTGTATATTCTTATGCATCTGATGATCTGTGCTTCCCTGAAGGAAAAAAAGATAGGGGGAAAACAAGAGCGGCACAAAAACGCTACATGATAAATGAGTTCAGTTCTGGGCTGCTGTGTTTGCCCTGTTGATAACTACCTCATCCTTAATACAAAGAAAGGTGTGGATTTCTTTGTCTTATTGTAGACACAGACTACTGGACTTTTTATTTTTATCCTGATGTTTAATTTCTGATTCTGACTGGTGCCATTGACCTTCCAGGGTAACTTTTAAACAATGGCCTTATTAAGCTATTGGTATTTATCATTCACACTTGGACTGGGTCTTAACTTTATAATATTTTTAAATGGACAGTGGCCTCTACTGGCCTATAGTGGTTTATATTTCCACATTTTTCCCCCTCTAAATCTAATTTGATTTGTGAAAATGTCAGTGTTGTGTTGGCAAATGTTTGTCACAGATCAATCTGTAACTATCACACTGAGTTGAACATGACTCCCACACCAAATGGGTGCCAGTGTTAATTACAACACATATAAATCCAGTTATTACTGATTACTTTTTACTGATCGCTTTCATTTCTATTTTTCCTAAGACCTGTTAATTATACTTATATACATACATACTGTATATGTATGCCATATGTCACACCAACACTGCACTTTAAAGCTGCAGAGGAAAGTTTATTTTAACCCAACCTGTTACACTAAGACTATAAGGTCATATTTATTTTACTGGCTTTTTTCCTACAAAAAAAAATATTTTGTCATTACAAATTTCCTGCAGCCCCACATATATTTTTTCTAGAATTAGTTTTTGATCGTGTGTTTTATACTGTGTTGCAAATACAGAGAAGCCAGATTAGTGTGAGGATAATTAGTTGAGAACATATTTTTATCAGTAATTTAGAATTCCAGGTGACCCCACATGGGGCCACAACCCCATTGTTAAAAGACACTGTTGTTTTCTTTTATAGATGAAAACATATTTCCTCTGTTGAATGAAAAACAGTCTTCAGCCTAATCATAACAGCCATGTCACTGGTAAAAGAATCTGACCTTATTTATTTCCGCACTTTGTACAGGATGTCTTACTTTACATACTGTTGTGCCTTTGTGATCATCTGTGACATTCTGTGATACAGAGCTTCCATTCTACTGTGTCAATCACTGACACGTTTCTCAACCCTAATAACTTACAGGCACATATACAGTCATAACACAACAGTCCAGAATCTCAAACTTTAAAGTTCCTCTTATGAAAAAAAACAAAGTTTGGTTTTATTTGCATTACCCTAAATGACTGATATTTGACTAAGTTAATGCTGACTGATTGAACAGGTTGTTGTTCAAATGTGGGAGTTTACACTCACCCACCTGCTGTGCAATGATGCAATATACTGTTAAGAAGTCTTATTTCCAATGATGCTGACACGCCTCCTGTTTCCTTCAGATGCTGGACTTTATTTTAAAACATTAGAGCAAAAGTCAGTTCTGGCAAATGTTAGTAAGAACTACCAGAAATTGACAGTTGCCAGTATGACAGTTCTTTTCTACTGGTAAGGCTCTCAACCATCTGTGAACATTTAAAATGTCTTACTTTTTTCTGAGAAAAGTGTTGCAGTACTGGTATTTAATGAATATTTTTTTATTTAGAAATTCCATCCCCGTACATATCACTTTTTCATCTCAGAGATTTTGTCCTTTGAAAACATTTTTATTGTGAAGCTGCAGAAAAAGACATGTATCTTTGAGTTCTCTTCTAGGTTTTGTTTGAGTTGCATTTTTTTTCTCACAGATGCGCTCTGTTTAAGGCTTGTGATAATCTGTCACTGATTTTGACTTGTATTTCTGTACCAGATTTTTTTAAAGACTGGATTTACACAACAATTGGTGTCTTTATTTATGTCCCTGTAAACTGGGCGATACATTTTGTGTGTGTGCTTATTTTTCTGGATAGTGCTAGTCTACAACTGACATAATCAGGTGCAGTTAGTATCTTTATAAATCTACTCAACCACTTAGAGAATATTGTTCCAATAAAAAAATACGTTACCGGAAGGCACTGACGGTACCACATAGGAACGTACAATGATCTGTCCCTAACAAAAAGAAAATGCAGGGCAACATCAGTCCTCGTATGTCCGTTACCAGATGGAGGTAGTGAGTCAACAGAAGTACAGATGTATGTCTTTAATTCGTTTTTTGTTTTGTTTTGTTTTTTGCCATCTGCTTCTAGAAGTTCAAACATAAACTCGTTAAGCTGATCAGTGAAGGAGGTAAACACATTGTCGTTCGACTGAGATTCCTAGCGAAGTTCCGCCTGACTTGACTAAAAAGTCCGATTTGACTAGCTCTGAATCCTGCCTTCACTGCCTCTTCGTCATAAATGTACTGGTATCTCTGAACGATTTCGACATTTGTGTACTGATTCGGTAGGTATTTTCTTGTTCTTCATTGCTTTCCGGTCGCACGTGAATTAAACCCAACACCGCCCCCACAATTTCCCGTAGTACTGCTCCGTTCCATGGTCTGGGATCTGCAAGCTCTCAGAAAACGTACTGAATTAGACATATAAGATGCAGAGACCGGGCCAATTCGTCCGTATACGTACTTTCCAATGTTATTATAAATACAGTTCAGCACACGCATCCATTGTCGTGTTATAGGATTCTCTAGGAAGATAACGTAACTTTTGATTTTAAACGTAAATAATGTAAAGTTCATTAAACCAAAAGGGGTTTTGTGAATTTTTACTTCACGTGAAATTGACTTTCTTCTCTTGATGAAAAATGGTGCGTTCAACAGGTGTCATTTAATGTACATGAATATCAGGTCCGCATTACGTTATTATAAACATTTTTAAAAAATCAAAACTACCTGAAAAGTAGAAGCATTAGACTATAAACAGGAATATATAAATAGTAAAAATAATTTACATATATTATTTTTACACGCGAAACTGCCGTTTGGGAAATTTATTTTTTGCTGTTTGGGAAGTATAGTTGACCGCTGGACGTTGCTCAACCCACAGTGCTCCTATAATTCAAACATTTTCGGAATTAAAATCTTTATCTCATAATTCGCAAATACTTCAAAGTAAAACAAAATACCTAAAATTATAGTCAAAATATTTAATAGGTGTTGTTTTAAATGTCGTTTTATTTTAGCTAATGAAATGGTCTATGTTTTTTATGAATACAACGTTAAGCTTCAATATTATACAATGCTCTCTCTGTCTCTGTCACACACACACACACGCACACACAAACAGGAAACAGGCGGTCAGCTTCATAAACATGGGAACTTGGGTGATCTGCCGTCAGTCAGTGCTGGATCAGGCTGCTGTGAGATCAGCTCATCCTCGGGCTCAAGTCATGAATCTGAAGGTTGGATAATCAGGAGCCGCATCAAAACCTGAGCAGAGGTCAGTGACATGCATTTATTGATGAGAGATTAATCGATTTGTGCGATTCCAAGGCACGTTTGAGGTGCAGAGACAGACACAGAGAGATCACATGTTAACCTGCAATAAAACCACTTTATACTTAGGTCAGTGAAAACCAACGACATTCATTCCAAGTTTGCAGTGATTTTTGTGTCTCATTATATTGTGTCTTCTACACATTTATTTTTGTGTTTTTGTTGTTAAAATAAAGGCAGAAATCATCACCGGGTCACTGTTGATACAAATCCTGGATTTTTTTTTTTTTTACTTTTAACCTTTTTTTTTTTACCGTGAGCTCAAAAGACAAAGTATTGGTTATTTAATTATCTTCCTTAAAAATAATGATTTTTTTTTTATTTTAGTTTGTGCTTGTGTTTCAGTTGTCAGTATGTAAGAAATTCAAGACACCTTTTAATCACTTGTCCTGTCCTCAGTATAATAATTTATAAAACATTAAAGTTACCCATTTTAAGGAATAATATCAGAAATGAGATTACTCTGTGACAGAATCTATACTTTGTTTACAAGAAGTGAAAGTTATTATCTATAGACATCTACTATATAAATATCTATATCTATAGACCGCTTATATTGGATCAACATGAAACTCAACCAGCAGCTGATTTAACAGTTGTCTTCTTCTTCTGCTTCTTATTATTATTATTATTATTATTATTATTATGATTATTCATTATTAGTTAGTTATTTGGGATTCTTAATCCTGTAAGTATGAACTTTTGACATATACACATAAGTGATGTAACAAAATATTTTGTTCTTTTAAACCAGCAATAATGGAATAATAATAGATTTGTCAGAGATCATATGATTTCTGTTTATCGAATGATGATGTTGTTTACTGTATGTTCCTAAAGTTATGCTGAATTTTAATGCTGCTATGTTATTATTTGATGTGGTCATGTGATCATCGTCACACTGTTTTATTTCCTAGTCAATCATTTTAACAATTTTTAATGATAATATATAATTTACAAAACAAAACTCCACAACAACAAGAGCTCAGAAATGAAGAATGACGTATGTCGTTTTAGCAGGTTGGTTATGTGACTTTATCATTCATCCTCACAGCTCATTTTCAAATACACTAGGTTCCTCTTTGTTGTTTGTGCGCCTGTGTCTGTCCAGTGTACAAACATGAGCTTAATTTTCCAAGAGGAAACTCGAAGCAATAGGGAAATGTGAATAAATATGTTTCCTTCTTCGGTGGATCTGTGAAGGAAAATAAAGAATATATATATTAAAGAATGAGGGAAAAATCCTATAAATGAAGCTTAACTGATTCAGTTGATTTCCTATGCTGTCATATTAATTTCTCAGAACAATTAATCGGTGCCTGTGATTGATATCACAGTGCGTTAGATACAGTACACATGTTGTATTACAATAGTAGGACTTGCAAAGTTCCCCAAACTTTTCTCGGCCTTCAGTTTCTGTGTCATATCCAAGTATTCCTTGTTTTGGCTACTTTTCTTTTGTAGAATAGTCTTTGTAGTCTTTAAGGGCATCTAGGAAGTAAACAGCTGAAAAACTTTATTTGGACAGAATCTTTCACGCATAAAGGCATAGACGCCAGAAATTTAGAAGATAAATCTCATGACTACAGAGCGTTATTCCTCCGTCCCTCTCTGGTTCGCTTTGTTACTAAGTTCCTCTAACTCAATGTTCTGCCCTGCTGCAGTGCAGTGCACGCTGTGACCCTGATCCAGGAGGTTGGAGGATTCCTTCCACTGAGAATTCTTCTGGTCCTGAAAGTTCCTGTTCTGAGCTCAGCCATGGCAGACCATCTTGTTCCCACTTTGCTGGAAGTCTGCGTGGTTGTGGGACCATCTATGGACAAACTCAGGGACGTCTACCAGGTGTTGATTTTTAAATAATGTGGATCAGAAAAGTGGTACATTATATATATATATATATTATATATATATATATATACTAATTATATACATACATACATATATATGCATATATATATATATATTACCCAGTGACGTCAATGTTTTCGTCTGTAGTAGAGAAACAGATAATGAATAGTGTCAGTGCAAAATGCACAGTGCGTAAAGCAGGTTATGCAAATGACTGGAAGGATGTAAAAAAAGTATTAGTTCACTCTGCCAAAACTATCAGTTTAGTTACATGTTTACCGTTACATAGATGTTGCTAAAATCCACGTAAACTGTGATGCTGAGGTGTGAGGCAGTGTTTTACTGTACACTTGTCACAGCTCTAATATTTAATCCTTTTTTTAACTCTTTTCTAACACTCAGATACTAAACAGTAACGGAGCACCAGAGCAAGTCCTGCTGGAGCCAGAGGTACTGCACGTGCTGGCGCCCCCTTTTGTCAGCAGATCACAAAATGAGAGCGTTGTGGTCAGTTCGCATGGAAAGAGACGGCGCTCCTTTCTGAGGAAGAAGAGGGAACCGCCTCCTTCAGCTGCTGTGACACTGCACCAAGGTGGCGTAACTGCTCGAAAATCTACAAGTAGCAAAAAATATACCTGCTAATGTTTACAGAATAAATGCTCGAAAATTAAATGAACAGAAGTTTTTATTGCCTGGCCAGTTTTACCCAGGTACATTTGTAAGTTTGGATACAATGTGTGTCATGCTACATTTGCAGGTGGAGGTGCAGATGGAAGAGGAAGCAATGAAGATGTCAGTGTTCCTAAAGACATTGATCTCATGGCTTTACCTCAGCTCTGCTTCCCAGGTATAAGTTCAGTCTATGTTTATAGTTTATTACATTATTTTTGTTAGCACTACTTGTTGTAGTTTTAGCCTGTTGACATAAGTTTTACTGTTTCACCAGATGGACTTCGTGTGACCAATGAACACAGAGAAGAACAGTTTCACTTCCTGGTTTTCACCGATGTCTTTGGTAACAAGACCCACGGCGTAGTAATGCAGTGTTACCAACCAGTACTGGTAATACTGTCTTTTTGGTACTTACAAATTGAATTAAAAAAACTGGCTTAGCTTACTAAAAGGTAACCCCTCATTGTTCACAGGAAGTGGGGCAACTCTTTAGCAATGGACTTGGTTCTGCGAAGTTCCCCAAACTTTTCTCGGCCTTCAGTTTCTGTGTCATATCCAAGTATCCGTACTTCACTGCCCTCAAAGACTGTCTGTCCTGGTGAGAGACTCTTCTTCTGCTGCTTGGTACTCAGGGCCACGTACAGCGACTACAGATCTTGGTCATAATCACACTCACACCAGTGGTCAGTTTAGAGTGACGATTAATTTAGAGTACCCTGAGAACAATCAGGAGAACATTCAGTTTCTTCACAGGGAGGCAAAGCCACTAACCACTCTTCCACGTTGTGACCATGTGTACTTTGAATATGTTTCTGTGATGTCACAAACAAGGTCTGCAATTAGCAGAGACTCAAAATAAATTTCAACTGAAACATTCTAACCTAAGAATCCTGGTGATGAGGAAATTTTAATGCAAACTAAGAAAAAAAAGAAAGTCCTAACTATGTTGGTATAAAAAGTTGCCAAAAATTATTGTATTAAAAATTATGTTCTGTCCCTGATTAATTTCAGCAGTTAATAATTCTGTGTCTGTTTGTCAGTCTTTTAATCCAGCTGAGAAACTGTCGCTCATCAGAGATAGAAGAGAGAGTGAAGGAGTTTGCTGCCAAACTTTCACTTGTTCCAATTCCTCCTCCAGGACAACTGCACCTGGTCTGTGTCTGTCTGTCTGTCTGGTTATTATGTGTGGTGTCGTGAATGAACTGGGATCACATTGTTTTACATTGTTTTGTTTCCTTTATCTGCGGCGATTCTGTAACCCTGTCCATTTCCCAGATGTTCACTCTGCGTCCTCTGACCATCGTGTTACCGTCCAGAGAAGACAAAGATCAGCCTGCCATAGATTTGGACCTTCACCTGCCGTTCCTTTGCTTCAGGCCACAGCAGCTCCTACAGGTTTGATTAAAAACCTGAGTGTATTTGTTACAGAGCAGCAGCGACTGGGACTCACTTCGACCCTAATGTCTGTGTTTGTCCTCGTCTATCTCCTCTGTAGGTGTTGTCTTGTCTCCTGCAGGAACAGAGAGTGGTGTTATTTTCTGCTGACTGGGCCAGACTCACACTGGTGGCAGAGAGTTTGCTGCTGTACCTGCAGGTTAGTTCAATGGCGACTAATTGTTCTATTTTTTAATTCATTCATGGCTTTAGCTTCACAATCTGATTGGTTTACACACATGTAATTTGTAACTGTAATTTGACCCCTGGTGGAACAACCACCAGAAATCCACTGATGCCTCCTCTTGCACTTAAAAAAGTGCTCCTCTATTACACACTTTATGACTTTTTACGTACAAAGGAAAATGCAGAAAAAGAATACGGTCCTAACTCATGACTCGGAATTTCTTTCTTATGTGAGGTTGCTCGGAAGAATATTCTAGACCATATTTATCCTTGTTTTGGATTATGGCAATACAATTAAGCATGCATTTACATAATATTTATGTTTATAAGAGAACTAAAAGTGTCAAATGTCTTTCCATGGGTATATTTAGAACAGGTAAAAAAAAGTGGGATTAATTTGAGATTAATCAAGATTCAGTGATTTTAACGGTTTGACAGCTATTGTTTTTACCCATGACTCTGCTGGTAAATACTTTTCTACATTTTCCTGCAGCCTCTGTCATGGCAGCAGCCCTATGTCCCTGTCCTGGCCAGAGGGATGCTGGACTTCCTCATGGCTCCAACTGCTTTCCTCATGGGCTGCCATGTTAGTCATTTTGAAGAGGTTGCAGCTGTGAGTGCAAATTTTTTATATCCAATTCTCCACTGTTTGGCGATAGAGCCGTGCTTAATGTAATGTTACTTTTTAACTTTTACCCCATGCTAACTTTCGTTACTCCAGGAGACCGATGATCTCATCCTAATCAACATCGACAGCGGAGCCGTCTCCACCTCCTGTTCTGATACAGTTGACCTTCCACAGATTCCTGCAGCTGCAGCAGACTGCTTCACACAGAGGTAGTCGTTAACATTCAGGTCAAGATATATCATATTTGGAACTGTAGATTTTTTTTTTTAAATTAATCACGCTCAACTGTGATTAATGATTGTGATTAATTGAAAAAATAATCTGACAAAAAATCTCTCTGGGTTTTGCTGGAACTGAAATGCAGTTATCAGCAGTGAATGTGTTTCAAACCTCTTTGTTTGTGACTAATTCCAACGATGGAACTTTTCTTTAATAGGAAATGAAGTACGCTCTTTACCGTCTCTGTGTGTTTTCAGGTGGCAGTCCCTGCAGATACACTTTGACCTGAACCAGTGCCACCGCGCCAGCTGCCATGACATCAACGAGCGGCGGGCACAGAGGAGAGCATGGCAACACAACCTCAACCACGACATCCAGAGGATCACGCTGGAACTGATAGTCAACATATTTAGGTTCTGTGTGTACTGTCTGGAAACTCGGGTGCAATCTGTCGCCTCCTCCCTGAGTCACCCGCCTTATTTAAACACATACATGTTTGCATTCACACAGGGACGTCAGCTGCCATCTCAATTATGAACATCGTGTGTTCAACAGTGAGGAGTTCCTGAAAACCAGAGAACCAGCAGACCAACTGTTCTACAAGAAGGTCCATACTTCATCACAGCATTTTCCCTCATAAAGTGAATCAGGACCAGCATTAATCTCACATATCACACATGGAAACGTTGCAGGTGCTGGAGACACACATTTTCCACTCCTTCCTTAAAGACCGCCTCAACAGGAAAATGGACAATTACACACGTATGGAGATCAGCACTCGTTCAGAGATGCAGAGGTATGATGTCACATCCTACTCTCTGTCCGTGAGAATACATTATTATCCAATGAACTTGATGTCAATTTTCTTTTTTTTTTCCTTCGTTGTAGACTAAAGGCTACGGTCGAAGTTACCCGCAGGCCCACCATGCAGGAGATACAAGCCCGGAGAAGAAGTTCAATCACAGAGACTGGGCCCAACAAAAGACTGGGCATGAGCCTTCCTAACCTCAGGGATGAACAGATGAACATCGCCTTCTATAGAAATGGGATTATCATGTCGGACACTGGTACAGCTGGAGCCAATGATGCAGCTCTTCTGTTTATCATCTTATCCTCTAACTAACATTCTCCACTCTCTCTCTCTCTCTCCCTCTCTTTCTCTCTTTTTTTTCCTTTTGGACCTGCAGCAGTGAGGACTCCTCCGAAGCATGTAAAGGTGTTTAAGCTCCCAGACTTCCCAGCATCTCTGTCCTTCCATTCTGTCCAAAGTTATTACAGTGAGCTAATCCAGCACCTTGGAAAGGCCATCTTCTCAGTCCAGAATGAGAACTCAACCATGCTTGCCAGGTACACCGCTGCAAGGCAGTGACCATGTTCTCAAGGTGTCCAGACATTGAAACTGCTGCTGACGCCATTTACTGAAGCAGATTAAAATGTTCAGAATCTTCCCATAAGGCAGGATTAATCTCAAATTAATTACAAATCTACATAGTGAGTCCAGTGTCAAATTTGAGGGGCTGTGTATGTTAACAGTGGTATTCAAAGTACTTAACTTATTATTTGTGTTAATATTGGCAGGCTAACTTCCTTTTTTTTTCACTCTATAGGTTTTACTACTTGCGGGGTTTCATCAATAGCCTGTGTCTACGGCGGCTGGACGCTCTGAGTGATTTCCAGAACCTGTACAAAACGGACACTGCCATCTTTCCCACCCACCTGGTCACATGGCTGGTGGACTCTCTGCAACGAGATGAGAGGCACCAAGCCGACAGGAGACCTGAACTGAAGAGGCTGATCCTCAAGGTCACTCTGATTCCACCTTTACCACAGAGGTTCTAATTAAAAATGTGTCTAATTCTAATGACTAAAATATGTGACCAGTGACATATATGGTTGTTCCTCTGGTTCTAATGCAGGTAAAGACAGAAAATGAGAAATCATCAGTGCAGCCTGACGACCACGTCAAAAAGTTTGAACTCCCACGAAATCCCCTCCCTCTGGCCGAGTTCGTCCGTTGCGTCCAGGAGTGTGGAATTGTGAAGGATGTGGCAACGATACACAGACTCTTTGGTGCTTTTACTGATGGTGAGTGGCACAGTGGATGTTTCAAATCAACGATCGTACATTATCAATCGAGATCATCAAGTGACGGCCCATGGGCCAAATCCAGCCCACAGAACTGTCTAATCTGGCCCATAACTGGATTCCAAAATAAATATCAAAATAATAATGTAAGACAAAAAGGTGTAAATATATTAATATAATATACATCAACATTAAAATAATACTAATAAAATATAATAAATATATAATAAAAATATTTTTAATATTATTATTAAAATGTCTGTAAAAGTCCATACAAAGGATAAATAAAAACCTACATTAATAAATGTATATAAATATATATATATAAATGTTTATATATATAATATATTATATATACTATATATTTGATTTTATTGAGATCTTAACAAAAAACAATAATAAACAAATTAATTTAAATCGTGTGACACATGTTTCCTGCCCCATAAATCAAACTAAAACTATTACATGTGAAAACTCTTTAGATACTGCACATATGAAAACGTTTACTTCAGTTAAATAGAAAAGCCTCAGTTTAGAACAGACTCCGAACAAACGAGGAATGTCATGTGACCTTGTGCGTTTTAATTAATTTAAACAAAAATTTTCAAGCTAATAAATATAAAAATCCACTCACCCCACGTGACAGGAGCTTCTTCAGGCTGTTGGTGTGTTGTGTAAAACTCCAACTTTCCCCTGTGTTTGTTGTGTTTTTTTTTTTAATCTGCTGTGAAAAGGAATCATGCACTGACACGGCAAAGAACAAAAGTGTTACACTACTGAGTTGCTGTGATTACTCTGATGTATGTGATACGGTGTAAACAATTGGACATAGTTCATGTCCCGTGCATGTTCAGCACATGTCCATGTCCTCATTGTCTTTTGTACTGTGCATGTGCATCATCTGTGTAAACTTTAGGTCAGTCAAAGCAGCTGGACCCTGAACTCTTCAGGCTCTTCTACACATTCTGGAAGGAGACGGAGGCCGAAGCGCAGGATGTCAACCTGCCCACCCAGGTGGTCGACCACCTCGACAACAGTGAGTGCGTCTACAAGTTGTCCTCCTGCGTCAAGACTTCCCATGGCGTTGGGAAAATCGCAATGACACAGAAGCGCTTGTTCCTGCTCACTGAGGGTCAGCCAGGCTACCTGGAAATCACAAAGTTCAGAGACATACAGGTTTCTAACACTTCCATTTCAAATATACGAAAGACTAACCTTTTTATCTTCCAAAGATCAAGTCTTTGCCAAATCTTCTTTCAAGTGTCTGATAACATCACATTCATAACTTTGCCTGTTTTGTGTTTAATTCAAAGAATTCAAATTCTTCTTTAGCGTCCTAGCTAAAATAAACTAAATTAAACATTTTAAATTGATTGATGACGGAGATCACAGCCGTCTGATTTTTTTTTTATGTTCAACCTTTTATACCAACAGCTAAACATTTTTTTTGCAGGAAGTAAAGATTGCTTCGGCTCCGTTTCTTCTTGTTCGTATTCCGTCCCTCCGTATCCAGACCTCCAGCCGGCCTGAGGTGTTTGAGGCAAACCTGAAGGCAGAGACTGAACTCTGGAACCTCTTGGTCAAAGAGATGTGGGCTGGACGCAGGATGGCTGACCAACACAAAGTAAGTTCTAGAATATGTTTTGTGAACTAACTCATGACCTCTTCTATAAAAATGATTCTATTTTAAAAAATCCTCACTAATTAACGTTCTATTGATTTTGTAAGGACCCAAAAATGTTATAATTTTTGACTGCGTGTTCACAGGATAAGGATCTTAATCGTTCATGTTAGTATTGTTGTGTGCAGAAGGAAATATCTGAATAGCTTCTGCTCTTTTTTCTCTTCTCAGCTGAATTTTCAATGTCTTTAACATTAAACTCATTTCTCTCGAGGACCCTCAGTACATGACTCAGGCTCTGACCAATGCTCTGCTGATGGATGCTGTCGTGGGTTGTCTACAAACCCAGAGGGCCATCACTGCTGCCTCAAAGCTGGCGTACTTTGATAAAATTAAACACGAAGGTGAGGATCCTACTCTAATGTTGTGGGTTTTTTTAATGATCCCACAAAATACCAGCAGTTGCTGGAATCTTTAAAAATTAAACAAAAAACTTATATCTGTATTTTCATATTTTTTGGTAGTTTTTAAAGCAAAAAACAGGTCTTTTTTGACCTTGGAGCAAGTTTTCTTAATCTTTTTGAATCCATCTAATAGAGGCTCTACTCTCACCTTTTACTAGATTAATTCTTGAGCCAGACTCAGGAAGCATTTTGATGTGAAATATTTGTGGTGACAGTGACTTCCCTTAGGCAAACCAGGCTCGTATCATTACAAATGTGATTGTTTCAAGGAACCACAAGAATATGAATAAAAGTAACATAATGTGTCTACTTTAAGTGATCACTGTTTGTCCTTCTCAAATCAAGTCATTTTTCATTTATTGTCTTCGTGATGTCACCAAGTGCCCATGATGGTGCCAAAAACAACATCAGAGACCCTCAAACACAAGATCAACCCCTCACTGGACCTGGCTGAGCCTCAGACTGTTCACGTGCTGCTGTACACACCTGGTAGTGTCTTCTTCTTTTCATTTTGATATAAAGTACCCTGTAGTTACCCTTACATCTGAGATGTATTGATTGTGAGTTTGAATCAATGATCACATATTAAAACCTTCATCTCATCATATTCCTCACATCCGCTGAATTCACAGTATCAATCCTGCACCACGTCCAAAGGCACAAGACACGCGCTGTCTACTGACATCGGTCGACGTAATCATTTCTATTCCTGTGTAAAGACAGAAATAACAAATGAGGGACGAAATAAGACCAAAACGCACCAGGTGTATTGGTCTTATTTCGTCCCTTATTTCTATTTTTAGGTTGTAGTTTTCGTCACACTTTGCTACAGAGAAAAACTTCACACTAAATCTGATTAGCTTTGAGAATTGTTTAATGGCTGGACGTATGAATAGCTGCTCTGTTACAAGACTCCTTTGTTTTTGCTGTGACCGAAAGCATCAACATGATCAATGACAATGATCCCAAGTACAATGGCAAACAAGGTTGATGAGGTTAAACAAGGTTGGTTGAACTACTGAAGCTAAAGTCAGGACAGCATTATACTGGACTGACTCAACAGCCTTTAAAATGTCCATATATTTATGTTTTGGTATTCATGTCTTTGAGAACACTGGGTAAATGAAAACAAAGCACTGGGTCATGTACTCCTGACCTCTAGTTTGACCCCTGAGCATGTCCTCCCATTGGATGAATTTTATGTTTCACACTTTTTTCTTTTTTCTTGTAGAATGTATTATTATAGAGTTTAACACATTGGACTTTTTTGTTTTTGCTTTAGGGCTGTTGTTGATCAATCATTTATTTTAGCTTTATTTTCTTCATTTTTTTTATTAGTTGAACTGTGATTACTAATTGTACTTTAGTTGTATTTAAAATATGATTTCTCTAATCTTTAGCTACAGTTGCTTTATTTAAAAATATATATTCTGATTTTTTTTTTCTTTTTTTTTTACGGTATGCAGTTGTTGCTCTTCTCCTGTCAGCCGTTCTCTCACACTCGCTTTGTCTCTCTGTGTCTTCAGGTCAGTTGACCTGTGACCACTCGGAGAGCGTGAAGAACCCCAAGTTGTGGGTGGCCCTCAGTGGAGGCAGGGTGGTTGTTTTCGATGCAGCGAGCTGGTCCATGCTGCAGGACTGCATCCAGGTCGGAGAGCTGCAGCTGGTGAGAGCAGACGACTTTAACTTCACTGCTGGATGAGAAGTCTCCTCTACACAGAAGTTCTTGATGTGAATGAGATAAAAGTGCACATGTCACGTGTTATTGCAGAACTGCATGCTGGGATTGGTCCAGGAGCAGGTTTGGATTGGATCCCAGGACTCTGTGATTTATATCATTGACACCCACAGTATGTCCTGCAACAAACAACTGACTGAGCACAGACACGAAGTGACTGGTCTGACAGTAGATGCCAAAGATCAACTCAATAGGTAAATACAACTATACACCTATATAGACTGTAATACAGGTAAAAAAACAACAACACAGCTTTATTTCAAATTTCTTAAAAAATGTTTTAAAAGTCTTTCAGGCTTTATTTGGTGGATTTGTCTGTTTGCATTTATTTATTTTTTTCCTCATTCCCAGTCAGCAGTTATTTTCCTGTAGCAGTGATGGGACCATTCTGCAGTGGGACTCAGCCAGCCTCAAAGTGAAGCGACAGTTCCATCTAAGCTGTGACCGTCTGTCGTCCATACAGATCCATGAAGGAACACTGTGGTGCTGTGAGTAAACTGTTGTCTGAAAACCTCTCTCCCTTCTAGACCATATTTTTCTAAATGTTCCTACGACAAAAACCCTTTTTAAGTGTGTGACGAATGCATCACCGGAAAATGATAAAAAAGTTGTTTGTGGGTCACACTGTGCTCTCTTTTATTCCGTCAGGGTCAGGTTGACTGTAGGGAGAGTACATGTGAGAATTTGAAATTCAATGTGGGTTTTTTTTTTTGCTGGCAGGTTGTGGCGACAGCATCGTCGAGCTGAAAAAGAGTGGCACGCCACAGCGAAGGATGACACTTCCTGAGGACCTGCGCAGCATTCCCAGTCGATTCTGCAGCTTCATTGTCATCCCTGAGGTAACATGTTAATCCTAATCCACCCTGATTGATGGTCATGCAGCTACCATCGCTTCAGTGAGGTTGACCAAGTACGATCACAAATCATGGATCTGTGCAGAGAGGCTATAAATACATGTAAAAACAACACGGCATATAAATAAATAATTGAATAAAAATCACAACATTATAACATACTTTTACACTCAAAGGGACAGTATTATTATCTCTTTTCCTATTATTATATTAATTATAACAATTATATTAAATATATGGGTGTCAATTATCACATCCACACATATTATCTAAGCTATATTTAGGGCTGCAAAACAAACAACAACATATTTACAAAATTCAGATTAGTCTTAATTAATTGTCATTATAAATGATTAATCTGGAGATGCATAGATATATATAGATGCAGATAGATATAAATATGACATGACAATTACTTTGTGCATTCATTGCAGCAAGGTCAGCTGTGGACTGGCTGTGCAGAGTCAGGTGAACTGTGTCTTTGGAACATCACTGATCACAGAACTCCGTACAAAAGAATTCCTCTGCCCGGCACTTCAGGAGTCACCTGTATGATTCGTGTAAAGGACCAGGTGAGTTAAAAATATCATTTTTAATATTTTTAATAATTCTTAATTTGCACCCGAAAAGCTCCAACTTGAGCGCAACACAGAGCAGAAATGTTCTGATGATTAGATGAGCTGTTGAACATAGTACGAAACGAATGTGTTTTTTTTTCATCACTGCACTGCTGCAGCCAAGTCTAATTACGTGAGGTTCTAAGGCATTAGCACACAATAAACCTGCAATACTTTGATGTCACCATTGTTTAAAATTATTTACATTTATTTTATCTTTCACTTCTGCCCACCTTGGCTCTTCCCCCACTCCCCTCAGATCTGGGTGGGATGTCGCGGCGGGTGCCCGATTGGGGGGGGGTGCGGCAGGCGGGGGGGAAGGCAGGGGCGGGGGGGCCAACCTGAGAAACACACCGTGCAGGTGAGTTAAAAATATCATTTTTAATATTTTTAATAATTCTTAATTTGCACCCGAAAAGCTCCAACTTGAGCGCAACACAGAGCAGAAATGTTCTGATGATTAGATGAGCTGTTGAACATAGTACGAAACGAATGTGTTTTTTTTTCATCACTGCACTGCTGCAGCCAAGTCTAATTACGTGAGGTTCTAAGGCATTAGCACACAATAAACCTGCAATACTTTGATGTCACCATTGTTTAAAATTATTTACATTTATTTTATCTTTCACTTCTGCCCACCTTGGCTCTTCCCCCCCTCCCCTCAGATCTGGGGGGGATGTCGCGGCGGGTGCACGATTGGGGGTGTGTGCGACAGTCGTGTGAGAAGTCAGGTGCTGGTGGTCAACCCTGAGAACCACACCGTGGCCAAGGAACTGCAGGCTCATTCAGACATCATTCAGACACTCTGCTCAGCAGAGGATCGTTATGTCCTGAGCGGCTCCGCACGCCGTGATGGGAAGATCGCCATCTGGAAGGTGGAGTAAAGAACAGACACTGGGAATAAAGAAGGAGAAATAAAAGAAAACTTGTGTGATGTGAAAACAGAAATAACACTCAATGTTGTTTGCTCTGAAAGATGGTAAATGTATAATAGAAGACTATAATGGGTTCACCATCAGTGAATACAATGAAGTTTTGTCTCTGACAGTTGTCCTGGAAGACAAAATGGAGATTCTTTTTTGAATTGAGAAACAAACTAAACAAACACATGAAATGTGTAAAAAAATCAAATTTTGCTCTGAAACTTGTGTATGACAAAAACACAGTGTATTTATGTTTATCAGATATTAAGACATTATTAATGTTTCAGTAACCTGACATCGGCATTTATCGAATGCTCTGTTTAGTACTTGGAATTTGCACTTATGCAGTTACTTTGATGGTATTTAACACACTTGACTCAGCAGCTGTAAACAACATAATAATAAAGTCTTTGTCTTCATTTGAATCCTCCATTGCATTTAACCCTTTTGACATTTTGGACAAACGAGATCTGAAATCAGTGCTTAAAAATTTGAGAACTGTTCATTATTTACTGTCTGTTTTTCCAGTTTCCAGTTGTTCATTTCTGTGGTTTCTGCAGCAGAACATCTGCCTGCATCTAGATATATTACTAGGAAATTCATTTGGGGTTTCAAATTTTGGTGTTCTGCAAGAATCACATGAGATGTATAAATCAGAGAGGGATGTTTTTACAGTGTTTTATTTCAACTATACATTCACAGAAGTGGGGTCAAAGCTTTTTTCATCTGCTTCAGTTCAGCTATAAATCATAGCTTTATCAACACAGGGCAGAGTATGGCTCCATGTCAGGTAAACCACACATTTTCCGATAAGTCCTTCTGTATTCATAATTTTCTTCTTGTCGTCATAAACATAAATTACACCTTTAAACTTTTGCAGTGGGGTTTTATTTTCTACTTAGAAATGTTTAAAATTGCCACTAAATATGTTTATTCCCAATTTTACACAATCTTTAATGTATATCATAATTCTAACTTAAACCAATAATTCCTTTAAAACTCAGATCCCGATAATAGCTGAAAAAAAGCTGTGAAACGAGATACTGTATTTTATCCTAGAGTTAACGCTGAACTTCTAGAGAAGCAACGTGAGTGCCATCCCCTCCAGCAGATGGTGGTAAAGCAACTTAATCTACGCCACCTATAGCGTAGAAGAAGTCACGCCAGCCAGTGAACCAATTATATCTGCGTCCACTAGTCACATGATCCTAATACGTCATTTTCCGGCGTCTGCCGCAATCATATCGGTCCATGTGAAAAGCTTCCACCAAAGTTGTCCTTCCTCCTCGGTAAGTGCGTTTTAAATGTGCGGGAAATCTAATATTGTGTATATTTGGTTTAAGTTAAGCCCGCTGTTGGTCGGCCGAGACGATTCGGCGTAGTTTTACGGCCCATAGCGTCTTTTCTCTACGGTAGCAAGGTCAACATTTAACGTTTCATATAGGAAGCAGGATACGGCGAATGTGTGAGAGACTGTGCCGGTGTCTCAGCAGAAAAGGTCCCCGAGCAGTGACAGTCACTGCAGACACTTACTGTGCAGTTAGCCTTAATGCAGCGTGTGTCTCGGTGTCTTTGGTGGTCTGTGGTGGTCTGTGGTTAGTCACTTTTTTGACATTAAGATGCTACAAGGTATGGTTGTCTTTGGTGAGTGACGTATTTTAAGAATATGTCCGCGAGAAGGTATCACAGCAGTCGTACTTGATAATATTTAGTCATTTAATAGTTTGAATTTGAGCAATAAATGAAATTGGAGTCACTGGAAATATTAGTTTATTTATTAATGCGTTTAAGCAGTAGAGGATAAAAGAATGTGCTGCATTCAGGTGTTTTTCTACTGCACTTCCTGTTGCTCAGCTCCATTGGCTTCTGTTGCAAGTACTATTACAATGAAAAGTATTTGTAAAAGAGGATTTGTTTGGAATAGAATCGGTGTTGTTGATCTCTTCTCTTCAACCTCTGAAGTTTATTTTGTGGAGCGTGGTTACACATTGTAATTTGATTGACATCACCAACGTCATTAGTGTTCTTTTTTTTTCTACTGGACTCCCTTTACTGTTTTGTTGAAGCAGATCCTGCTACAGATTCAGTGTCATTTTGTTTAGTTTTTAAAAAATATATAATTTACTAATGCTTGTTGTTGATTTAATATTATTAATTAATTTAAATAAAAATTTGGTCAAATGTGACTTTTTTTTTTGCTTTCTTTTGCTGATTTTGCTAAAATTTTGATCCATGGTTTTGTTTTGTTTTTTGGTAAGTTTAACATTACTTTTTTGGATTTTGAAGGATTAATGATACACGTTTTAGCTCCTAAGACTGCATTTTGACTGTCCATTCTGTTATTTATTACACTCCATTATTACAGTAGTGTTTTCAGTGTCCACATCCTTGTCTCTGTATTCTATATATTTTGTGTTAGAGCAGTAGAGACAGTGGATTAAACCTAGGACATTATAGACCAGTGTTTAATCTTGAAGATGCAATAAAAATGTATATTATATTACTGTATTATACAGCTAATATGGTTATTACTAATATTTGTATATTTAAAAAAAAATTAACCTTTCTTTAACTTCCAAGTTGAATGTCGTATTTTGATGCTGATAATACTAATGCTGGTAATACTGCTAATAATACAAAAACTAGTATCACTGATCTCACTGACCACTTCTGTCCTCCACAGACCATGGCCAGTCGCCTCCTGAGCAGATATGCCCATCTGCTATGCAGGGCCTCCTCTCAGGCTCCGGGTAGCGCTGTGGCGTCAGTGAGCCGTCTCCCGATGACTGTGACTCCACCTGTAGAGGTGCAGAGGACTGAGGGCTGGCCCCAGATCAGTAAGAGGTTCATGCACGAGAAGAGTTCACTCGCCACGGATGACGCCGTTTGGGATCAGACCTCGTTCTCCAAAGTGAATGATTTGATGAAGAAGGCCACTGTGCCAGAGGACGTTCTGCAGGCTTGGGTGGAGCACGGAGGAGATGCTAATATGGCTGCAATCAGCCTGGTAAAGTGGACTCAGTTGGTGCGAAAGACAAAGGGCGATTTTAAGATGGATTCTAGAATAAATGAAATGCTGGACACCATATCTGCACAGGTACACTGAAAACAGACCTTTCCCAGGATGCTGATCTCTTGGTCATTCTTTTTTTAATCAATAAACATGTCTGAATTTTATTATTTGTTTCACCCCCAGGTGTCCAAAGTGTGGAACTACAGTCTGGTGTCCACCTTGTCTTCTCTGTGGATCATTAAAATTCCCCGGAACGATTCACGATTGCTCTCCATTGAGCAAGAGGTTCTCTGGCGAGTGCGTAAGCTGACTTGCAAGCAGCTGGCCTTCCTGGTGACCTCAGCAGCTGACAGAAAGGACCAGCAGGTGGCACTGATACTGAGCACTGCATTGAAACACTTGGAACTGCGAACGACCGAAATCATCGACACCAAAACCGTCACCGATCTGTTTGTGAAGCCGCATCACTTGTCCCCGTCCCTTAAGCAAAAAGTAGAAGATAAGGTATCTGACATTGTTCCAATTATGATTAATCATGACAATTATTGGAACAGAAAGACAAATAACAGCAGGTAGATGTCAGTGATTCACACGTGTTTTTATTTGTGACTGATCCAAATGATCGAATTATTAATATTGAAACATTGAGTGTGGAGAGGAAGCGTTTTTAACAGTCAATGCTACGGCTAAATCAAATTCCCTCGCATACCACTAGAGGGAGCCCAAGCACCATCAGTTATTAGTATCCTATAGTTTAACCGATAAGTCTTGTTTCAATTGTTGCATTTCTTTGTGAAAAAATATTTTTAATGAGTTGTTTTACTGAAAATTAGCCGATTTCAAAGTACTTTTATTGGAGTTGATACAAGTATTTTCCATTCCAGGAACATTAGAACAAGAAAATGTCACTGAATAGTAGAAAACAGCATTGTGTCTTATGCAAAATGTGTCTTATGTTATGCAAAGATGTAACATAGCCGGCAAAGATGTAGCAGAGCGTATAATATCCACCTCCATAAAATTACTCTACCTTCTCCTGCATGTCTTCCAGGCCTTGGAACTGGCCGAGAGCTTTTCAGCAGAAGAGATCCGTAGGATCCTGTTATCCTTGGGAATTCAAAGCCGGAGAAACGTCCCACTTCTCAGAGCTCTTTCCTACCATCTCATACAGAAGCCCTCATCCGATTTCACCCCTCCTCTTATATTGGACTTGGCATTTGCTTTCGGTAACAAGACTTTTATTTTTATTGGACATTTGTAGAAAGACAATTAGTTAAATTTTAAGACTCTTGATGTTAAGTACAAGTGTAATTGGTCATTGTGAACATATAATAAGTGCATTATTTCATGTTAGCTTTTCTGTAATTGTTTGCAGCTAATGATTTCCTCCTTGTCTTCACTCTCTCGCAGGGAAGTTGAATTTTCATCACACTCAACTATTTCAACGAATGGTTTCGGAATTGATGCCCCATGTTCCACAGCTGCGTCCCAGTGAAGTCACTCGCTTTGCCAAGTCCCTAACCTTCCTCAAATGGCTGAACATCCCCATGTACGAGGCCCTAACCGAGGTCAGACTTCAAACCTATGACCAGGAGCTGTAGGTAAGGAAAACAGAAGTATTTATTATTTTCACTGTAGGTTTAAAGGAAAACAGAAGTATTTATTATTTTCTCCTGTGTCTCTTTCCAGCACTTTATTACTAACCGTGCTCAGTACAGGAGCACTGAGTTCTGCAATTTGCTCATGGCCTTCGCCAGACTCTACTTCCTGCCCAGCAATAAAGACCAGTTTTTCACTGAGGTACTGATGACGACTGAAGCAGTCAGCTGACTCCACCTTGTTGTTTCCACACCTCAAATGCATTTCTTGTTTCTTTGTGCACCAGCTCCACTCTCTGCTGGACAAGTCCATCTCTGACCTACACCCCCTCCTGAGGACAGATATGGTCTGGTCTCTGTGTGTGTTGCAACAGGCTAACCCCTCTTACATCACACCCATTTTAGAACCACAATATGTTGCCAAGGTGTTGGGTAAGTGGCATAATGGGGCTTTTGATTTCACTTGTGTTTGAGTAAAACACTCGAACTGTTAAGATTGTGAAGTATTTGGTCTGAGGCCAGGTCTCTGGAGGTCTACGATGGCTGTGTGGAGATAAATGCTGAATGTTCCTTTAAAACAGTTTGAGAACTGGGAATAAACTTAAACTGTTTCAGTGATTAGTTTGAAGTTTCTCCCCCAGAGTCTCCCCTCACCTCTGCTGCTACTGCCTCTCTATTTCTGTCACCTGTCTCATGAGTTGGTAGATAATCAGAGAGAGGGAGGGGGAGTAAGGGAGGTAGACAGGGTTAGGTTAGGTGTCAGCTGTAATTCCTGGCAACATAGAGATGAATTTGAACCCATTTAACTGAAACATATTCAACTACAAATGTAAGCTCACTTCTCTGCTGAAGTCACTTTCCTGTTGGTAACAGCTGTTAAACCCTTCCATCCATCCATTTTCATCTGCTTATCCGTTACCGGGTCGCGGGGGCAGCAGGCGCCACCCAAATCACATTGCACCGTACCAATCCTTCCTGCGGGTGGTGAGTCCACTGGAAGGTACCAACCGCCCTAACCGGGATTCGAACTTGCCCAGGAGGTGAACCCTGGGGTTCCACACCAATGACAGAGACATTGCCTCTGGGCCAAAGCGCCACTAGCTGTTAAACCAAGTCCATTTAACAAACACTGTAGTAGAACAACCCAACTGCTCACCATACCATGGTAGCTGATGGTAAGGAGGTCACAGCGCTGCAATGACCACAAAAGCCTCTCCTCAACTTTATCACTGTGAAATTGACAGGTTGATATATATTTTCTATTTTATGGCCTGCACTCATCCTGATTTTATTTTATTATTTTTTACCCGCAGAGAACGATAAAAGTGGAGCAGAGAACTATCGACTGAAGCTCCTACACATTGCTACAACTCTCTCCTTAGAACACCCAGGCTCCTCTGATTTAGAACCTCCATCCTCCCTGCTGACATCATCAGTCCTGCCCACTGTCTCCCCCATGCAGAGCAGCCTGAGGGAGTCTCTGCAGAGTTTGGTGGGAGAGAGAACAGAAGCTCTTCACACTGGGGTTCAAACCCCGTATGGATGGAATATTGGTTAGTAAAAGTACAGGACAATTCCAAACATACCCTAAAATACCCTCTTATGATTCTCTGGTTATTGGGTTTAACATGATGTGTCATGGCTTTGCACAACCACTAGATGGCGAGCTGCTAATAGATTGTGACAATAAACCAATCAACTGGCCAAGCGGTGATGACCAGTCACTTCCTGCTGGAGCACGGAGGTTAGTCGTGGGAAAACTCATACAGGTTATTAAACCTTCAAGGTTTGTTTTTTGGTTTTCGTTCTTCATCAGTTCTTTTTCTTTATTTTCCTAAGGATTGCCTTCATTGCCTGGGAATTTCCCAACTTTGGTGTCAAGAGTAAAGACCTTCTGGGGCGCTTCGTCATGATGAGGCGACATTTGCAGCTATCAGGCTACACCCTTGTAGAGGTAAAGAGACACATTTTTAGTTTATCTGTGGATCAAAAACCATGAACCAGTTGACTGGATTCTATAATGTGTTTTGTTTCCATGGTGATGACTCTAAACCTTTTTGACCTTCAGGCCCAATTTTATGAGTAGAAAGTTAATCTGGAACAGACTGATGCAATACTGCCACCCCGTGGTCAAATGCTTCATTGCTTCATTAAAACAGCTTCTCATGGGTAACACTCTTTGGTTTCTTCAGTTGGTAATAGATGCAGTCCAGTTGCCCACAGGTGCAAAACTGATTTTTTGTTGCAGCCCCCTAGGTTGCACCACCTGTGGTTTAGAATCACTGTTTTAGAGGACGAGGGCAGAGCAGCATCCATGGCAACAAAGAGCTTCTTATACTGTATTAACGGGGCTAAGACACAGGAGAGTGTTGCTGCAGTCTGTGGTAAAAATAGTTGAAGCCGCAGCTGTAGGTCATCAGCAGCATCGCTGCCACCTTCATTTAGGACATCTGCTGATCTCTTCTCCAGTTTGTAGTAATTCACTGTGAGACAAGTGAGCTTCATCTATAATACAGCCACATAGAACCTGCTTACGTCACTGCCGTCTGAGTCAGACCATCCTACAACAAATGACCAAATCTCTGTTCTCTGACATCCACTACTTTTGTCTTAATCTGATTTGAATCAAAAAGGGGAAACTTTGGCAGACACTTTCTTCTCCTGACTATGAAACAGCACAATGTGACCCTGCAGTTGCTCAACAGCCTGAAAAGAAATTGAAAGTATTTGAACCGATGCACTTTGTCCTTTTTGCAGATTCCGTATTACGAATTTCTGGAACTGAAGACAGCTTGGCAAAAATTGGCATACCTGAAGGATAAAATGGGAAAGGCTGTGGCCGAGGACATGGCCAAGTAAATAGAAAAGTCCAGATGAAAATCTGCAGATTAGGCACTATCAACACACAAACACACACACTTACACTTGGATCCCAAACACCACTGCAGGAAAAAAGTCCCTCAAAAGTAAAAATAAAAAAAAGAAGAAAGAAAGCAATATATAAGTGGTTCCCTTGGAAACCTGAGGGGGTTTCCCTGTTTCCATGGTGACCAGAAGCAGCAGTTTTGGAGCAGAAGAAGGACTAAAATAAACCCAACTATAAACTGTTTAGAACTCATGCGACCAAGAACAGGCAAATACTGAGCAGGATATGATTTGAATGGACGGGTGTTCTGTCAGCAACTCTGATGTGATGTACATTTGTCATCTTATGGTAAAATAAATGTTTTTATTGAAGTTTTTGGCTTTTGATTCCTAATGGATTGACTCCTGTGTGTACGAAGAGTCACTTGTGTGCATATGTGTTGTTGTTTTCAGTGGAGCGATTGAAGAAGGGATCCATCACATCAACTGAACAGTGTTACCAGCCCATTAAAAGTCATTAAGTTCATGAATCATTCATTCATTCATCTTCTACTGTTTCATCTTTTTCAGGATCCTTATCCAGTCGTTAGCCTGGGAGGGCGTGGTCACGCCATGGACAGTGACCTGCTCAGTTGCTGGGACACTTGTAGAGACAAATGAATGGAGGGGGTAGGCGTAGGAGGGGGCTATTTGACTGATACCATCACTGATCATAAACTGTTTGCACAACAACACAGGCAGAAGCAGCGGCCTGACTTCAGTTAGCTGTTAACTAGCTAATTGTGAATCAATCATCATCCAAGTGTTTGCAGTCCCCCACGCCCCTCATACTCCCTTAAAAAGTCAAACATATTTATATTACATTTTGTTCATATGAAACACCTGTAATATTAACTTAATTTGAATATTTTAAATGTTTATTTTCAGGTGTATGCAAGAGCTAGAAGCTGAGAGGATTAAATATTTTAGAAAAGTGATGTTGAATTTCCCATTTTTGCATCAATAAGTACATCCAGCCACCTCTTCATCCATCCATCCTAACTGTGACAAAACGTTTTTCCATCTTGAAGAGATGTGGTGGATTTTAATGACATCCAGTTGGTAATAATTGGTCTCCATTATGTCAGGATCCTTCAGAACTTTTTTAAAATGTAACTTCCCTTTTGGGTGAAGTTCAACAGAGAACCGAAGTCCTGAGGAGGTGACGACTGTAAAGGGAGAATCACCAGGGGAAACATCTCTGTGGTGACTTCCTGTGAGATCCAAACAGGAAGAATGAGGTAATATTATCAGAACAGACTCTCACTGATACTTTGTTGTTCTGGTTCAGTCTGATCTTCTCCCCTCTCCTTGTTTTTGCAGTTCCCTTCCTGTCCTCTCAGGCTGAGGGCAGCACTGGCGGAGCAGGAGAAATTTGCTGACATCACCCGCCCCAGGATCCAGTCATTGCTCTGCTGTGAGAGGAGAAGGCGGGGGCAGAGAAAAGAGTGAGAGATACAGGGAGAAAATAAAGGAGGGAGGGAGGGAGGAATGGGACACTAAGGGAGAATGCTGCAGCTCACTCTTACATCTTATACACACACACACACACACTGGATCATGAGGAAGTGAAACACGTTCCCAGAACAGCAGCATCACTGAGCTGCACCACAGCACACCCTCCCATCACTCTCTCCTTTTGCTTCTCTCCCTCTCCTCCTCACCTCAAACACAAACACACAAAGACATACAGTACACGTGCTGCGGGGAAGCTCCGAAGGCTGGGTTGCTGAGTTTCCCCTCCCAACCTCCTCCCTCTTTTTGAGCATTCTTAACCCCTCCCTCTCTCTCTCTCTCACTCTTTCTCACTCTTTCTCTCTCTTCTTTTTTTTACCCTGCCTGTTCTGGCTGTATGGTTTATTATTGCAACACAGCCCAAGACAGTCAGCAGGGAGC